GAGCTCAGTGCCTTCTCCATAAGTTACCTTGATATTTTCAGCCCGGATTTGAGGGACCGGCCAGCCCCAGCTTTCAGCCAGGTGCTCCCGCCAGCATCCAGAGTGACCCCGGAGCTCCTGCGCTGAGCGGGGCTGGTGTCCCAGCACAAGAAGCAGCAAAATGAGGTCTGCAGTTAAAGACCATTGCCCTTAGTGCTGTCCCTGGACCCCAGCACCAGATATTAGCACAGCACCAGTCTGCAGGATGGGTGCATTGACCAAACTGGGACGCAGCTTTAGCCAGCAGAAAGCAACTGGAGTTTGGCATGGGACCAGCGGCGAGGGTGCAACGCGCAGGGCAGAAACCTGCTAGCTGTAGCGCGTCATGCAGCGTCATATAGTGAGATATAAGTCAGTGAAATACGAATACAGGCACAATACAAACATTAATGACGTTGTATGTCAATTAGGAATAGAAGCACCATAATCTATATACCATAGCTCTATAAATCATACACAGTCTTCTCCCCGAAGCTCCAGCCTAGGCTGTTGCAGTTGGGAGGGACCTACAACGTGACCTAGGCCAACTGCCTGACCAACTCAGGGCTGACCGAGGTAACACGTGTTATGAAGGGCACTGCCCAAATGCCTCTTAATCACTGGCAGGCTTGGGGCATCGACCCCTCTCTAGGGAGCCTGTTCCAGTGCCTGACCATGCTCTCAGTAAAGAAATGGTTCCTAATGCCCAGTCTAAACCTCGCTGGCGCAGCTTTGAACGATTCCCACGCATCCTGTCCCCGGACCCCCGGATCGGCACCTCCCTCCCCGCCCCGCGCTCGTGTGCCGCAGGGTGCGAAGCAGCCCTCGACTTCACTGCTTGCAGCTGCGACTGAGAAGATCTCGGCTCTTGCGCACTTTTGACCTGGAACCCACGTCCTTTTGGGGTTTTGCTTGGGCCAGCGGTCAGCCCGCAGTTCCCCAGCCCCCTTCATGCACCAAGACGCGCTACAGCTGCAGACCAGCGGCAGCTCGGTGTGGTGTGGGTACGCACCCGTGCGACTCGAGGCGGACGTCCCGCTTGCTGCTTGACAGGCGCCCGTGCTTTGGTCAGCTAGAAGATGGGTGAAGGAAGATCACACGTAGCTTTATAATCCCGGGGGGTTTGAGGACGTCGGCTCCGAGAACTTCTCTGTCCGTGCTGGGGGAGGTGGAAGCAGGGCTGTCTCGTGGGTCAGAACAAATGGCTACAAGCAAGCCTTTGCACCTGCTATTTTACAGATATATATATATATATATATATACACACACACCCCCCCAAAAGGGAACATGTATATATAAAAGAGATTATATATACTCACACATATAAAAGGAGTGTATATATATATATATATATATATATATATGGGAAAAAGTTAAAAAGTTCCAGGAAAATTACACGCTTACTTGTTTAAAACTCACATTGTAAGTTCTACCATGAAATTATCCTAAGATAAAAAAAAAAAAAATAATTGAAATGTTTCGCTGTGATAGCATTAGACCAAAGCAGCCTACAAAAAAAAATTATTCCTACTCCTCTGATACATTAGGTAGTTAATCAAGACTACGAAAGGGTGACCTGAATTAAGACAACACGTCAGTTCATGTAATTACCGGACCATCAGACGGCTCCGTTATTTCGCGCTGCTCCCGAGCTGCGGCAGCGAGAGCAGAGGGCTGGCGCTGGGAGCCCGAGCGCAGCTCCAGGCCCTGCCCTCTCCGCGGACCGCGCACCTTATTTGCAAGGTAAAACGTTGTCACACACCAAAATCGTTACCAAAACGCGTCTCTAGGGGATTAGACAGGTAATGAAAAAGGTGTAGAGCTCCAGCTCAGAATTAAAAGCCCTACTGAAGAAATTTACAAAGAAAAACAACACTGAGTTTATTTCTTAAGGCATGGCATTTCCAGGATTACTTTTTTTTTTAAATGCTGGGGGGGGAAGAGTTCCTCTTTTTTGTTTTAAATACAGGAAATTTTGTACAGCGTTTCCGACAGAAGTTCATGATGGTTTCCTCTCAATGGTAAAAAAATCTTCCCTAGGTTAAAAAAAAAAAAAAAAGTCACATAATTTAACAGCCTAAAGACAACCGACTTGTGCTTTGCAGTTGATTAAAAATATGTGCACACACTACTGCGATACGTCAACCAAGCAGCAGAGGTACAACATAAAAATACATAACACATTTTAAAAGTTACCTCATGCTCACCGCATCTTTGTACTGGCCTAGAATCCTCCATTGACTGAAGGGGCCAGGGAGGAGAAAAAAGTTAAAAAGCATGTTTTACACAGCTGGTATGTTTGATTCTAAAAGATTTTATGAAAGTTACGGGGAAAAAAGAAGTCACGTCCCTGGAAGCCCCTCGTCCTCGTTTCACTGCGTGTTGGAGCCGTGTATTTTCTGTGTCAGTACCAAATCGAGCACCGCATCCTACGTGATACGAATGTTTGTTACATGGCACACACAAACAAACCGCATACCAGAAGTTTTACCATAAAAATGAAGATATTTATTCAAGAAGTACAAATTTGATGGTACCAGCCATCTTTGAAAGCCATTACCATGAGGCAGAGAGGACACAAACCGAAGTCTCTTGCTCAGAGCATATGAAAGCAAGTGTCGTACAAATTGCCAGCCAATGCAGTCATTTCAGTCATTGCTCAAAAGCCACCTCCACTTTTTAAACATTCCCTGGACTTAAGAGAGGCACAAATAGGGTTTTTAATACAAGACCAGTTAGTTATTTTAATAAAGCCATCAGCTAAAATTTATTTTGTTTTAAATTTCCTTAAATTGTCTCCAGCCTTTGACTGGATTCAAATTTCCTAAAGAAAAAAGGGACTTGGGAACGAGCAGGTGCAGAATTTTTGGAGCTCCAGATGAACTAAAAGTTTTAAGGCAGGAGTCAGGATTTTAAGTTCTCTATTTGCCCCATGGCTCTGATCAAATGGTCTTCATCTGTAAAACATACAAATACAGAGTTCTACCAGATAAATACCCAACGAGTGGTCCTGCTTGGAGGGCAGGAACATACTTCTTCACGGAGAGTCCAGCGGACACATTTATTAAAAGTCTCGAAGCCCGCGATAAGAAGCCCACTGGTTAAAACATCGCATCTTCCGACTCTTTGACTTTTGTAGGCTCAGTGGCACGTATCTCCCTCGGAAGGGGAGCTATAGCTCCGTCTCCTACGAACAAGAGCAACACACACGCGGCTACGGAGTTAGCTAAGCGGATGAAAGATGGAAGAGGAGAGCCATTTGCAGAAAAGAGCAATCAAAAACACTTTATGAAAAGGGAAGTCTTAAAGCAGGCAGACTTGTATATACAGTCATTAACCAACACAAGTGTTTGTAGCTGCAGATAGCATAGCAGGACATTCATCTTCTTTGGGAGAATACAGAAGCACGGTTGCCGGAAAGTTTAACTCCAAGGCTTCCTAGGTCAGTTAACTTGCAAGACAGACCACCAACAAGGTTTGAAGCAGATTTTTTTCTTTTTCCAAGAAAGCTGCAGAGCGTATGAAGCTCATCCCCCCCCCCCAAAGCAAGTTTTCAAAAACGCCTTTCTCAAATACCTCCACATCCCACCCCGGGGAGCGCCAGCCGCCCAAGGGCTGCCAGCCATCAGCCAGGAGGGACTCAGGGTGACAGGGAAGCGGTGAAGGGCAAAGAGGAAAGAAGCCCCTTTTCCTAACAGAGACTACTTTCATTTCAACATAACAGGATCTGAGCAGCGCAGTGAAAAAGCCAACAAAAATCTTTTTTTTTTTTTTTTTTCTTAAAACGTAAACATTCTCTGCATAAGGTGCAGGGTCTTGGATGTATTTACAGTGACATAGAAAAGAGTTTGTAAAATATAGATCAAGAGTCAGAAATGTAGCTACCACTTATGCTTCTGAAGAAGACAGAAACGGAGAAACGTACAGCATTCAACTCCTCAACACTTACACGGCTAAAATGCTCTCAAAACTCCATGGCTAAAAGCATCCCACCGTTGTAACAAACTAAGATATTTTTAATAGTTTTTCAAAAGTTTTTACATTATTTACTAACAATGGATATATATGCAGAAACATGTCATACTACAGCACTATTTTGTCGATCGGCCCTCTGCCTCACCACGGTTATGCCCGTTGCCGTGTGTTGCCTTGTTGCTTCAATGCACCCCCTTGCCTCTCCTCCCCAGAGCAACTTAGAAACTTTCCGTCAGCGGCAAAGAGGAGCTGGGGTTTGGTTTGGTTGCTCCTGGGGTGAGGTTTTTGCTGTTGTTGTTACTACTACTTTTAGCATTGAGGGTCTATTAAAAAACCCAGCTTATTATACTGCTGACTCGCATCATTCAGTTTTCCAAAGTATTTCCCAGATTCAGAGAAGCAAAGGCTTTCAGAAAACTAAAAAAACCTTCTCGCAGCGCAGCCGCTCCACACTGTGCTTTCTGCAGAGGGCACCAAGAACTGCGATGCACGGAGAGCCAAGGCAGTCAGCGAAGCTCCGGGGAGCTGGGTGCTCAGAAGGAGCAGCCATTGCTCAGCTGTGGAAGACGACCCTGAGCACCCTTCTGCAGCGCACCGAGCACGTACCTACAGCATCTGCGGCTTTTCTGGAGCTCCCGCGCCCAGCAGACTACGTGTGTTCGTGCCTCTCTGCCTTTCGAGCTGGCCAGGAGTGTGGACTTTCACCAGGTTATTACTTCTGGGTCAGGCAGAAGCAACAATAAAGAGTATAAAAATTTGGATCACACCAAACAGACCTGTCACTAACATGGTAAAAAGTGTCATCTACTGGCATCAGTTCATAGCCAGAGCTAATCAGGAATGACACAAAGGGCTGATGGGTCTAATAAATAAAAAATTTCCCATTACTCCTCACTTGTCCGCACTTGGCATTGCAGTTCACGGCTGCAAGCGTTACAAAACCCATTGCATTACTTTGATTCTAACCAAGACCCGGCACAGTGCGTCAGCACACCAACCAGCGTGCCAAAACCCGGCCCAGGCCGTGCTGCCAGCGCGTGCGGCTCAGCGTACATCCCCGCTGCAAAGCGGGGACGCGTACACCAGCGTGCTTCCACCCTCCCTCCCCACGAGCAGCCGCGGGTGTCGGCGCCGCAGACCTGCGCTGGTCCTGTCTTCTCCCCGCGGCTGCCAGCTGAACAGCAGTTTAGGACTTCGTTAGTCCCACTTCGGCCGTGCCCACGCTGCTCTGCAGTTAAACCAGCCTTCCCTCCCTCCGGCGAGGAGCCCCGCTCCGCCGGGAACGCGCGAGCCCCACGGCGGCCGCAGCCCGCTTCCCTGCACCGGCAGTTGCACCGACGGCCATCTCGCAGGACAGGGACAAGGCACGTCAGAGACAGAAAGGACTGCGCTCCCAACGTAGACTGCAACCTCTAGTTACGTACATGGGATATGTTAAGTCACCATGCTGTATGCCTGTATGCCTTCATTACTGATTTTTTTAATTACTGATTTTATATATATATATATGTTTTTTGAAACTTAGAATTCTTTCCTAATACAAATCTTGTAAAATTTGTTTCCAGCAAGGTATGTGCTTAGCACATCTGTCATTTTATACAGAGGAGGTTGAGAAGTCTTCACTTTCACCTATAAAAGCATTTTACCACTGAATTTTTTCAGTTTTAGATGCGTGCTTAAGGGACAGGAGGGGGGGAGGCTGTTAGAGAAAAGAGTATTTTCGTGAACCAATTCTCTGTTGTACTCGAAGCCCACTCACAACATGGCCTTCAGATCATCACCTTGCTCCCCGACATAAAAGCAATTAATATAAAACGTGGCCACCTATTCCGGCGTAATAAAACTGGGCCTTTTCCAACTAAGAGGGAGGAGAGGGAAAGAAGGAGCTCTCCCAGCCCCTACACGCTGTAATCTCAAAAGCAGTACATGGTGACAATTGCCTGAATGAAAGCAGAAAAACAAACAAACAAAAATCAACACAATGTATCTGACAAAAAAAAGTAGTGTTTTAGTGGTCACAGTTACAGAACGGCCACCCTGGCTTGCTCCTCCGCACTCCATCGCGACTCCCCCCTTCCAGAAGGGCTGCAGGGAAACGACACAAAGGCCATTTCTGCAGAGACGTCAGTTATGCCTCATCAGACAGCAGTGCCTTCCTGGCACGAAACCATCCTTTGCCCAGGGAAAATCCACGAGATTTTTGAGTTGTTTATACATCAAATATTTTTTCCCCTCTGGAATGCGAAAGATCTGGCTGCCAAAACCCAGTATAGTAAATCATATTTGTCTTAAAAAAACTCCAGAATACAAAACTTTTGTTATAGATTAGTATTTATCAGCTTTGATTTCGTCTTTAAAAAGAAAAAAAAGAAAAAGGAAAACCAAGTCACTTTGGCGTTTATGAGAACAGGGAACTAATTTTCCTTTACACAGCTCTGCCACTGCACTTCAGCCATCCTGTACCAAATGGGGGCTAAAGGAGCTGTCAGAAAACCATAGGCTTAATACAACAGAAAGCCCAAAGGGACCAAAAAGAAAGCTCTATTTCTTTCGGGTAGGGTGGGAAAAGCATATAAAACGTGGATCTGTTTTCCAACCATCAATGTAAATCCTCTGCCTGCTTCCACCTGCCGGGACAGACTCGTGATGTGCAAGCGACCTCTGCTCGTGCCGGCTCTGCGCTCACGGAGCGAGGGCTCCCCTCCAGTCCGAGAAACCGAGTTCTGCAGAATTCATGAAGGAGCAAAAGTAACGAGTTTAAAATCGTCAGTGTAACCCACCAGCTTCACTAGCAGACAAGAAAGAGCTGGGACAACTTAGCTTTAGACCATTGATTCAGAGAAGGAAGACAGAAACCAATAAAAATATGCTATTCATACCCGAATAGCACATTTGACTTTGGAAGAAGTGAAATCATTTCAATGACAACTGAAAAAACAAGCAAACTAGAAATCACGTTTCAAAGGAACAGAGCATTTGATCTCAACCAAAGGCATTACCAGCCAGGGTGCAGAGCAGCCGCAGGAACAGAGAGCGTCGCCAACTGAGGGAACAAGCAATTGGATTCCTGCCCCCCCAATATGCTCTGATTCAGATATTTGAGACTACAAAAGGATTTGTCGTTTGCCAAAGGGCTCCTCTTACATTCTGAAGGGAAAGCACTGGCTGCGGAACACCACCATCGTGCTCTGGGCCGCGGGCGCGTGTCGGCGAGGATACCTCCCCTTGTCCCGGCTGGAGAGTCACCAGAGCTAGAAGACCGGCTGCCACTTCAAACGACACTTGCACAAAAAGCTGAACACCATGGGCTGTTGCCTCCTCCTTACCATCTTCCATGCTTTGTGCCCTCTAGGAACCGAGCAGGAGAAGTTGCAATCCATCGCATCTGGGTGTAACTGCGGTTAAACCTGGACCTGTGACACCGGTGCCGTTTGACAAAGGTGATGCACCTAACGCTTCCGCACAGACCAGCGCATCGCTCGCCTGAGCTAGCCTCATAAAAACTTGTTCTAATGATCTGAGTGATATACAGTAATTTGGCAGGCACGTACTCAGTGCCGGTGAGTCAGTAAACTTCAGGCTAAGTCAGTCTTGTAGCAAGTTAAGTTTACAGTACAGTACGCGAGAATATACATTGACTAAGTTATTGCCTAAGGCTCCGGCGGGCTGCGTTGCCAGCTCGGGAGCCAGCAATGGCACAGGACTGCGTTGCCATCTTGGAATGTACAATTGCTTGGTCTGAGCATCGCCAGGAGCTGCCCGCGCGGGACAGAGACCGAGCCCCCCGCCCAGCCCCGCTGCCCGGGGCCGGCTGCGCTCGGCGGTGCCTGGGCAGAGCACGCCAGCCAGGTCAAACCAGAAAGGCTCCCCGTGAACACGCAGCGCGGGACCTACCCAGAGCGGCTGCGATTCCTGCAGGAACTGTATGTGGTGCTGATATGAAATTTTCTAAATTGATTAATTTTGTTTTTTTTTTAAAATAAAAGTGCTCTCTGTTGCTCTGGCTCTATGGATCACGGCACCACCTACAGTTTTCAGAATCACCACATTTTTGTATTAAGTGAACTACAATCTCTTCCCTCCTTCCTTGTACCTCTTCCCTTTTCCCTTCCCGTTCCCGCTCCTTCCTTTGCCCTTGCCCTGTGCTGCTCGCTGTTGTGTTAAATACGAGATCAGGCAAACCCCAAAGGCCAGTTTACATTTTTATGTTTTGTTTTTGCAGATCTCCATCACAGATGGAATTTTTGCTGGTCATTTCTTGGAACCAATCCATTAGCAGGACAAACCGAAAGAAGAGAGGGCAGTGAAAACAAACCCCATGACAGAAACGGAGGAAAGAAGAATCAATAAACAAGCAGAAATCAGTTTTCCACCGGGGTGGGATTTGCTAAGGGCTGGCTCACGATGACTTGCACCACGTAGTCCTTTGGGATTTTCAGCTCCTCCAGTTTCATTTTGTCTGCCAGCGGCCTGCCCGAGAAGAACCAGCGCTGGCTGCCCGGCTCCACTCCCTCCACCGCATGCAGCCGCCTCTTCATGTGGTACACCGTGTCCATGCTCCGGACCATGAGTTTGAGGTCTTTGCCTGTGGACAGGCGCAAACGAAGCTGGCATTCGTGCCCTGAATTGGGTGGGGGATCTGGAATATCCAGAGTCTCCAGGTCGCCCTTCTCCTCTATCATGTTGATAGGTGGGGCGAGGCAGTAGACGGGAAGCTGGTACCGGTTGCCCAGTTCATCGTAACACTCTGTAAGAGCACCTTTGGGAGATAAGAGGGGAGAAAAATGAATATGAATGCATTTCACATTTAACATTGAAGCGGTCACGCTCAGAAGTGCTGACCCTGCTGTTAAACCATGTGAACAATGAGGTCTGAATTCAGGCTTTAAAGGATTGATACAAAAAAATCTGAAGTTTTCATTAAAAATTGCTACTTGGATGAATTACACGATCCCGAACCTGAGCTCTGAAAAGGCAAAATGGCAAAGACCAAAGGCAAAAGACCACTATGAAAGAAAGATTTTGTAACTTCTCAAACATTCAAAAATTGCTAAATAGTTTCATATAGGACTCATGTTTTAGCGAGCAGTGCCAGAACAAACACGACCACCCACGTCGGACAACCCTGCGGCTCCGTACGGAGCGCGGTGTCACCGCCAGAGCAACGATACCCAGCACGTACTCAACACTCGCACAGTGCCTGTCCCTCCCGTATTCAAAGCCCTGACGTGTCAGGAGGGATTTTTATTTCCCCAGACTCTTGAGAGGCTCCTCGGGATAATGTGGGTGTTCGTGTAGAAGACGCCCGGGCAGCGGTGTGCTGCCTTGCGTATGGCATTCCT